GCAGGGACAGTCCCCGCTGGTTTCACAGCCCGGAGTTGTGGGGACGTCTCTTCCTGGCCCTGGAGCCCTGGGCTGGGGGCCTGCTGTGGGGCTGGGACCCCTCCCTCCTCCCTGCTCCCTCCTCCCTCCTCCCTCCTCCGGGAAACCTCTGCCGCCGAGATTCCCTCCCAGGTTTCAACAGCAGCACCAGATGTGCGCCCTCGGCCGCATCTCCGCGATTCAGCCCCGATCCGCCGGCATCTGTGCCCCTCCTACCGCTCTCGGTGCTGCTTCAGCTCCCTGGTTGTGGGGCATCTGTGCAGCCAGATCTCAGGAGGCTCTGAGTGACGGTGGTTCTGTATTTTAGTTGTAATTTTGATGTGGTTGCGGGAGGCAGCAGGTGCAGCTGTTATCTACGTGCCATCTTGTTTCAACCCCCCCCATGTGGATTCTATTACTGACAGATTGTGCTGCAAATCAAGGCCTGTTTAGTAAAAGAGACCGAAAGGAAAGAAACCAACAACACTTTAGTTTGGAACCCCAGGAAATGTTCCAAGTGTCAGCAAGGCTGTGGCAACTCCATCTAACTGAGGGAGCTGTGGGAGTTTATACAGATGAGAAGCCCACTCCATAAATGTGTGGCTTAGCCATCTTTAATATGTTTTTATTGATTTTTAGAGGAAGGGAGATGGGGAGAGAGAAAGATGGAAACATTGGTGTGAAAGAGAAGCATCGATCGGCTGCCTCCTGCACGCCCCCTACTGGGGATCGAGCCCAAAACCCCGGCATGTGCTCTGACCGGGAATCCAACCAGGGACTTCTCCGTGCCTAGGCGACACTCAACCACTGACCCGCGGGCCAGGCAGGGCCATTTTTACAATCAATCTACTGTAATAGGGGTCCGCCGTTATTCCACATGGAAGCCATTGGGTGCATCTCAGAAACATAACCATCCCCCGCTTCTTCTCCACTCTCCACAGTTTCTTGGCGTCACAGAGCTCTCTGCATATTGTGAAGGCTACTTTCTCAAAAACATGATGGTCCTCATTGAAAACGAAGCCTTCAAGCAGCTCCTATATGACAAGAATGGCGAAGGGACGGGCCAGGACGTGCTCCAGGACTTACAGAGGACGTTGGCCATCAGGATTCAGTCCATCCACTTGTCATCTTCCAAAGGCTCTGTCGTATGAAATGCCCAGCGCAGGGACTGCTCCTCGGGGACTTTCCAGTTCTGCTGCACTGGCCCCACACAAACACACAAATTTCACTTGGCGTCTGTTTCTGGGCTGGGCCATGGAGCTGCCTCTCCTGCCTCAGCTTCCCTTGAATAAGCAAAGTCAGCTCCCACGGGTTCCTGTTGAAAAACAAAGGACATTCCACTGGTCTACAGATCAGAGCCCAGCTAGGTCAGAGCTTGAAGGTCAACAAGGGGCAGCCAAGCTAACCCCATCCAATAGCACCCCTGGGTAGCCGAGCATGTTTTGAGGGGACCACCATCAGAAGGATGGATTGGGAACTAAAGATCGTTTGGGTTCCAGGTGGGCAGCTGGAAAATCTAACTGCAGAGAATTGTGTTGCACATCAAGGACCGTAGTAGCTTCAGTTCAGCAAGGGTCAACCATGATCGCAGATTGGTGAGACTTACCAATAACGAAGAAATAATTTGACAAATTTTTAGGGGTGGGAACTTTTTAAAAAAACACATACACAGGGCAGCCTGTAGTTTAAAATATATTTCTAAAAGCATAACAATTCGTTTTCAACTGAATTGTGTTTAGGGATCTGTGTTTTGAGATTTTTTTTTCCTTTAAAAAAAAAACAGACACAAAAAAACACACCAGTAAGTCACAGGTCCACACTGTATAAACCTGCATCTGACAACTTATCACTGACATTCTATACAAGGTGAAATAATACTCCTGCCTTAGTGATCATGGTTACACAAAAGAGTTGCACTGCCAATAATTATCTCTCACTCAGTAGTCGAAAACAACCTGCATGCTAATTGTGGTTTTGGGGGGAGATTAAAATAGCCCCACATAAGAAAACATGCATTTGCATGGGCCAAACCTGTGAAATGTTATGTTTGTGCTTCATTTTTGCCAAGGTTAAAAAAAAAAAAAAATGTTCCATCACATCCTGCTAAAGGTCCATTGGGTGAAATGAACATATCCATTTCTTTTCCTAATTATGAATGATTCTGGGATGCTTTTGAGAAATGTGTTCATAGATGATGCTGAATGGGGGGTGGGGGAGCACGTCAGAGAATTTACTAGTTATCCCAGGGTTTTCTCTGTATTTGCAGAAGATGTTAATAGTTTGTTACTAGCCAGAGACTATGACTACGTTAGATTATTTTTCAAGATGAAACCTGTATGATAGGACGGCTTCTTTCTGTATTCGGAGAGTGTACAGTATAGGGTTATCTATAATGAAAGTTTATATCGACGGGGTTCCGTTTGCTCTGCCGTATATTATAAGCAAAAGAGATTGGTGAAGTGCCACAATATTCCAGATACAATTTTTGAGTTGCTGCCTTTTTTCTTGCCCTTTCCTTTGAAGCCTAGATACATGCAATGAAAGCTAGGAGAATGACTTTTATCCCTGGAGATGGCAAAGTTTCGTTGATAAACCTATTTCCTAGCATGCCTTTGGGAAGCTGTGCGCAGACCCTAAATTTCAAAGGAGCTGCTGTTCATGCATCGTACCTGTTCCCTGAGCCACTGTTCAGAGGACCGACGTCGAGCTCTGTTTCACAGGCATGACGGTGGAGAGCCCGGGCCACGTCTGTCTTCAGTATTGGTCCTACTGTGATGCCGATACACAAGGCCTCTCTTCCACTTGGTCGTTTGCAAACCTCCTCAGGCCCACACAACCATCAAATGAGGGGAAAAAAACAACCGCGGAGGGGTCCTGGCTACAGACACACGGCATGTGCGTGGCCCGACACTGTCTCCTGCCTCCTCTCAGTCCTCGGAGATGCTGCGTGGATGCCCCCTTTCACCGCCACTGACTTGCCTGTGACTGTCTGATGCTGTCGGGGCCTCCGGGCGTTGACTTGTACAGTGGCAACTCCGTACGGGCTTCTGTTATAGTTTGGTGTGCTTTCTCTGTCATTAAAAAAAATGATTTTCCCAAATCGTGCATCCTTTGTATAGACACATGAGCGCTTTTTTTTTTTTTTTTAAATATGTCTTTATTGATTTTAGAGAAGAAGGGAAAAGAGAGAGATAGAAACAGTGATGTAAAGGGAAATATCAACATCGATCGGCTGCCTCCTGTACGTCCCCTGCTGGAGACTGAGCCCACAACCTGGGCATGTGCCCTGACCGGGAATCGAACAGGTGACCTCTTGGTGCCTGGGTCGAGGCTCAACCACTGAGCCACACCAGCGAGGTGTGAGCTCTGCTTTTTAATTTTTAAAGTATAGTTGGTACACGATCATATATTGGTTGTATTAGTTTCAGATGTACAACATCATCAGTCAGCATTTTTATACCTCACAATGTGATCATCCTACTAATTCTAGTGGTCACCTGTCATTGTGCAAACTCATCACAAAATTATTGACGACACCCCCCGCCTTTTTCACCCCCAACCCTCCCTTCTGGTCTGTTTCTATGAGTCTGTTTTGTNCCCCCCGCCTTTTTCACCCCCAACCCTCCCTTCTGGTCTGTTCCTATGAATCTGTTTTGTTTTGTTTTTTAAGATTCCACATGTAAGTGACGCCATATGGTATTTGTCTGGCTCATTTTGCTTAGCATAGCACCTTCTAGGCCCGTANTTTTGTTTTTTAAGATTCCACATGTAAGTGACGCCATATGGTATTTGTCTTTGTCTGGCTCAGTTTGCTTAGCATAGCACCTTCTAGGCCTGTCCATGTTGTTGCAAATGGCAAGATGTCGTTCTTTTTTATTGCCGTGTAATGCTCCACTGTGTGTGCGTGTATCTCACATCTTTCCCTGTTGATCTGTTGATGGGCGCCTAGTTCGTTCCATATCTTGGCTACTGTGATTAACGCTGCAATGAGCATAGGGTGCAAAAGTCTCTTTGAATTAGCGTTTTTGTTTTCTTCAGATAAATACCCAGAAGTGGAATTGCTGGGTCACATGGTAGATCTCTTTTTAGTTTTCCGAGGCATCTCCATACTGTTCTCCAGCGTGGCTCCACCAGCCTGCNCTCCATACTGTTCTCCAGCGTGGCTCCACCATCCTGCAGTCCCACCAACAGTGCACAGGGCTCTCTTTCTGCACGTCCCCACCAGCTGCGTTAGCTGTTGACTTTTTGATGACAGCCGTTCTGACTGGTGTGAGGTGGCATCTCATCGTGGTTTTGATTTGCACTTCCCTGATGATTAGTGATGCTGAGCATCTTTCAGAAGTCTGTTGGCCATCTTTATGTCCTCGTTGGGGAAATGTCTTTCATGTCCTCTGCCCATTTTTCGATATGAGTGAGCTCTTTACTCAACAGTTGGAGCCTGGGAACTTCATTCGGTTAAGAGATTAGAAAATGTGGCCCCACAGAAAAAGTTTGGGGAAATGTTAGATAAAAGGTAAATAGATGTTTGTGTCATTGACAGTGAGCCACCGCCTGGCCACTCTGTCCGTCAGAGCGTGGCTGAGCAGGCTCTAGTTCCCTGGGTCAGCATATACCTCTGGTCATCACCCTCGGATTTCCTTCCCATCGGACAGAACTTACAGGTGCCGCCACCTGGGCCGCTGTCCTAGTGCCTCTGCCTATCGTAGGTCACTCGCCTGCGGGAGGCGGCATTCTGGCTGTCATTTCTGGGCCCTGATGAAGCTTTGGAGTTGGGGCATGGCGAAATACAAGTTCTCAACCCGGTGTGCCCCCCACCTAGGGCCAATGTGAGTCGATGCCTGTGGGTGGTGACAGTGTTCTGGGCTGGGAGTTAGGGAGGGACAAGCAGCTGTCGTCTCGGGTGTCATCATCACTGAGGTCAACCCAGCTGGTCCCCTCTGGCTCCTGACCCAGCCTGGGCCCAACCCAGGCCTGTATCGAGATTAATACCCATGGCTCATCCACAGGGCCTACAGGAAGCCAGGGAAGGGCCCAGGCAGCCCAAGGGACCGGGGCCAGTGAGGCCTGTTAACAGCTGGCAGCACCCTGCTTAGCAGTCAGGGTCTGTTTCTTCTTCAAGAAGCCATCAAAGCAGTGAGTGCCAGCGGCCAGAACTCCCAGTCAGGCCAGGGGAACAGGAGGTCGGTTTATTTTATTTTATTTTTAAATATACCTTTATTGACTTCAGAGGAAGGGAGAGGGAGAGATAGAGACATCAATGATGAGAGTCATTGATCCGCTGCCTCCTGCACACCCCCTGCTGGGGATCGAGCCCTCAACCTGGGCACATGCCCTGCCCAGGAATCCAACTGTGATCACTTGGATCCAAGGTCAATGCTCGGCCGCTGAGCCACACCTGGCTGGGCGGTGGGTTTCTTTTTGACGGTGTCACCGTTTGTGCAGCCACAGGCTGAGGGATCATTTGATTCATGCCTTTGGAAAGTGTAGGCTATGGCATTTGCCATTCTCTTGTCTGGCAGGTGGCTTTGTCATTCAGTCCTTAATGAAGCCTTTACAAGGGCCCCTTAGCATTTGGGGTGGGGTGGGGGTGGAGCCTGCCTGCTACAAAGCTCCCCTCCACCCCTTCCACATGCAGAGAGAAACTGGAAGGAGTGTGTCCGTGCAGCCACACGAATAAACACAAAGGCCTCGACTTGGCTCCTGTCCCGCCCCACAGTGCGCCCCACATGTAACTGAGCTTCCACACACCATGCCTGAGTGTCACCCACTGTCCCCGAAGGAAGGGGAATCCTCCACCCAAAATGAGATCAAGGTGTGAGCTCCAGTGTCCGGAGGGGTCCGGGCAGAAGCTGGAAGAAGCTGCGCAGGGCTGGCGGAGGCCTCTGGGATCTCCGCCCCTGAGGCTCTGTCTCTGTAGCTCACCTTGTTTTTTCCTGTGGAGCCCGAGGCAAAAAGTGTGATTCCAGCTGGGTGTTGTTTTATCTGGTGTTGTCTTACGGAGACTTTCATCACACACTGTTTCACTAACCTCAGGCCGTGGGGATGGTGGGGTAGGAATCCCAGACAATTCTTTGAGAAAATCTATTTCACCGGTTCTGGGGTCCCTGCCTTCTTCATAATTCAGTGCTCACCTCCCACCACCCCTCGCTAGCATGAGTCACACATGAAGGATTGCACAAGTAGTCACACCTACTCGTGTGACTTCTCACTCCCTTTCCGACCGGGCGCTACACAGACACCCTCCAAGACTAGCCGGCTGTTTCCTGGGCTTCTGGGCTTAAGGGTTCCGGCCAGTGCTCCGCGCAGGCCTGCAGGCCTGCATGTTCCAGGCGGGCCAGCCCGGGCCCGCTTGGAGACATTGGACACGGTACTTCACCCAGTTTCAATTCTCCTGTTTTGAGGAATTGGGTTTAAATATAACTCATTGCTAGGGTTGTTGGGAATATTAAAGGGTGTATTTTGTATGGGTCCTACACTGTTAGTAGCAGAGAAAAAGCATGGCAACCTTCCAAGACTGAGCAGAGGGAAGGAGAAATTGACGACTCACACAACAAAGAAAGGTTAATGATTTTGCTCTTCCTTTCTAGAACTTTCTACAGCAATTCCCATGGTGATTTGTGATTCTCTAGGGTTTTGCTACTTATCCAAGTGATGTGGAGAAATCCCTCGGGAAGAAATCCATTGCTGTCCTAGTTCCTAGCACAGTGCCCCGCATAGTCAGTGATCAAGAAATGTTTGTCAGTGGGAGCCAAGTTCAACCAGATGACCTTTCATGTCAATACTGTGTTTCCTAAATTAAATCAGACATGCAGGCAGTAGCTCTCCCAGCTCCTCATCAACTCAGGAATGTGAGACACGTTTGCGACTCATGACATGAGTCTAAAGCTCAAAGCCCCACAAATGACTGAGCAGGTCCCAGACCCACTGGGGCCCAGGTTTTCAGTCCAGTGCGGGGGACCATGGCCCTTTGGAGAGGAGGGGAGTCATCAAAACTCCCCAAATGAAACACACTGCTAAGTGTCAACTCCAGAAAAATCCAGGATCACCGTCTTCAAGTCAGCAGCTAGGCCCAAGACCCTTTCTGCCACTCGAGGGTGTGACACACTCCTCACCCCTCGCCTGAGAAACCGCCCTGGTGAAACTTCGCGTCCCCTCCGGTCCCCCCAGCTGGCCAATGCTTTGAATCAGGCAGCACGTGCCTCCGGACGGGCCCACCTCGGAAGCCGATATCATGCCTATTTTTTCACCCTCTTTAAAAATAACCAGGCAGATTTTAAACTTCCTGCGTGGTAGGAAAAAATAGAACTGGTACTTAGCAATCACGTCGTGCACGGGTCCCCATTCCTGATGAGGCAGTCAGATAACAAGTGCCCCGCGAAAGGACGCATCTCCAAGTTTAGCTCTGAATCTGAAAAGACAATCTGTCCGCGTGAATAGGCAATTAAAAGAGACGTCCTGATACCACTGACACACTCTTTAGATGTTGCTTTTGAGAGTTTACTTCCTTTCCAATGAGTTTAGAATCTTGATGCCATCTCAACCCTCTGGGACCAAGAGCTGCACAGAGAGGAGGCGGGTGGCGACCTGGAGGGGCTCTGGGCTGGGACCAGGTCCCACCTCTGGCCCTGTGGCCACATTGGCTCCTTGGGTGACCTTGGCCAGGCCCCTCCGCCATTCAGGGCCTTTTTCCCAACTCTAAATGCGAGTTTTCTGAGCTGATGTGTGTGCCTAGACCGGGACATGGCCAGCGCCTCTCACTACGTTCGTGTGTTAGGACATTGTGGTGGCGCCGTTGGTGCGGTGGGACTAACGGATTGCAGCCAGGAGGACTTAGGGGCATGGGCCTCTGCGTACGACATTTCCAGTGAAACAGGAAATCAGTCAGAGCCTTCCAACAGGCTCCAAGCAAATTTTATTATGAGGCATCTCACGAGGCGATGGCCTTGTGACTCCCATGTCCTGTTTGTTTGGTTCTTTTACCTTTTGTTTTTAAATAACTGTAGCTTCACAGGGAGTTGCAGAGACAGTGGGGAGCGGTCCCGCGGGCCCTTCGCCCAGTTTCCCCCAGTGAACAGTCTAGTTCGGTGTCAGAGCAGGAAG